CATGGGGTTTTCTTGGCAAGATTTGTTTAGAGGAGGTTTGCCATTGCCATCTCCTGAGGATGAGAGCATGTGGCTTGCCCAAGGTCACCCAGTGGGTTTCATGGCTGAGGTGGGAATCGAACCCTGATCTCCAACACTCAAAACTCCTTTGCCATGCTGGCTTCAGAAATAATATACACAGGTAGGATGAGGTGAGGATAAGCATTTAAATTAAGGGCAAGCAGCTCATGACCCTCCAGATATTGTTGGATTGAGGTTCTCATGGCGCTTCACTATTGGTTATCTGGCTAGGGCTGATGGGAGTTGCAGTCTGCCAGCACCTGGCAAGCCACAAGATTCTTGCCTTGGTTTAAATCAAAAGGAAGTAGGTCAGTCTTACCTACTAGTATTGAACTCTTGCCAGATTTCAAAGGCACTAATTATGGTATACCTAGAATCCTTCTCCATTTTATCTTCATAGCAACCCTTTAAGGTAGGCCAGCCAAAGAAGAGATAAAGTATTTGACCCAGGGTTACAAATGAATGTTATACTTAAGCAGGCCCAGTGCTCTGTGTTGTACAGATATGTTACAACATGCTGTTGTGTTGGGTGTCTGGAACCCACATGGGTCTCTCACATGGTAAAATTGTTTTGTATACTCCAGTGAGGATGTGTATGTAAGGGTTCAGTGGGAACTCTTGCTCATCCAAGAGAAAGGGCATGGGAACCATATAGCTCTTCAGATGCTGCTGGACTGTAGCTACCATCATTCTGCATCATTAGTTATGCTTTCTAGGTTTCATGGGAACTCCAGGCTGAACCTGCACTGTAGAAATAATGCAGTTTGACACCGCTTTAACTGCCGTGGCTCCATGCTATGGAGTCCTGGGATTTGTAGTTGTTTGAGGCATCAGAGAAAGCTAAATATCTTGCAAAACTACAAATCCCAGAAATCCATTGCATTGAGCGTGGCAGTTAAAGCTGTGTCAAATTGCATTATTTCTGCAGTGCATATTCAGCCTCATTCAAACAAATCTGGAAACCACAGTTTGACTGTCCCTGCTCTGAGGGCTGGTTTATTTTATATATTTTCAGCTAGGGCTGAAACACCATCTAAATTTAAATGGCAAAATACACCTAGTGCACTGATTTGAGAATGGAGCATGCATTCACCACCAAATATATTGAGGAAATAAAAATATAAAAGGAAGGACACCTGTGACCTCTTGGAAACAGGGAAATCGACGTTTGGATGATTCATGAGTCATTCATAAGTAACTGCACTGTACAGATACCTTACTTTAAAAAAGTCATGTAGGATTTGCAGTAAAAAAAAGTAAAAATTAAATCTTTTCTTTTTGTGCTATATTTGTCCATCTGTCTATCTGCTGGTTTATTTATACCCCATTTTCTTCCAAGACTGGGACTCAAGGTGGCTTTTAAAAGAGAGAAAATTTTCAATAAAAATACATGTGATTGAAAACATTAAAAACATACTATATATGGAAGATGGTTACATTTTTATATGGAGTAATTACATTTATAGTTAAATATGTCTTCATACCCAAATAAAGGGTAATTAACTAGTTCTCGGTTTTGTCAAGATAATTCAAAACGTCATGCATATGGGTTGGGTGGGTATCTCTCCTGTAGAAGGAATAACCACTTAACACACATTGAATTTATATTACGTAAATGCTGAAATGTTGTCATAGAGAATAGTGAAGTCCGTTATTTCAGGATTCTTCCTGGCATCTGAAATGCTCAATCACATATTGCTTGCTTCCTGAGAGACAGGCTATAGCAGGGGTAGGCAACCTTTTTAAGCTTGGGGCCGGTCCTGCGAAGTCCCTCCCGCCGCTGGGTCAAGGGGGGAGAATGGTGGCGTGCCCGCGTGCGCGCACAATCCCCCGCATGCGCTGCCGCTGCCGCCACCACCGCTGCGCAGCCACCTCCGTGCACGCCGCCGCCATTTTGGAAACCAAATTGATGGTTGCAATGCATTTGCGCGTGCGCAGTACTCCTGCGCATGTGCAAATGAGTTGCGGTTGCCATTTTGATTTCCAAAATGGCGGCTGTGGTGCGCGCGGCCGCACGGCGGGAAAAACAGGCCTATCATATCACCTCTTAGCCTTTTCTTCTCCAGGCTAAACATACCCAGCTCCCTGAGTCACTCTTCATACAGCATGGTTTCCAGACCCTCCACCTATTTTGGTCGCCCTCCACTGGACATGCTCCAGTTTCTCCACATCCCTTTTGAATTGTGGTGCCCAGAACTGGACACAGTGTTCCAGGTGAGGCCTGACCAAAGCAGAATAGAGTGGTACTATTACTTCCCTCAATCTAGACACTGTACTTCTATTGATGCATCTAGAACAGGGGTAGGCAACCTTTCCCCTTTAAGGGCCGAGGGATTTCAGCTCCCAGAATCCCAGGAGCTATTGGCCAACATGGGACTATTGGCCAACATGGCTGAGGCTTCTGGGAGCTGAAGTCCCTCGGCCCTTAAAGGGGAAAGGTTGCCTACCCCTGATCTAGAATCATAGTGGCTTTTTTAGCTGCCACATCATACAAGACTCATGTTCAGCTTGTGGTGTATTAGGATTCCTAGATTCCTTTCACATGTACTGTTGTCAAGCCAGGTGTCTCTCATCCTATATCTGTGCATTTCATTCCCCCCACCCCAAGTGTAGTACCTTATATTTCTCCCTGTTGAAATTCATTTTGTGAGTTTTGGCCCAGCTTTTTAATATATTAAGATCAGTTTGAATTTTGATCCTGTCCTCTGGGGTATTAGCTCTCCTCCTAATTTGGTGTCATCTGCAAATTCCATAAGGCTCATAACATTTGATATTCATGTATTATCATGGGTAATAGTTACCTGCTGAACTGGAAGACATTTGAAGTGGTAATGTAAACTTTTAGAGTGGCCATAGAGAGTTGGTTGAGCATTTGCTTTCCAGGCGTA